TTGCTGCTTATGTGATGATAACATTCAGTCTGATTTGTAGGTTTATGGCATTGGGTCATATGTTTGCTTCAATAAACTATATTCATCAGAATTTATGGAGGTGTTTAAGAGGGGTTACCTCTGAAACTGGCTGCTGAGCTAATAGCCAACTTACTGTATAAACTAATAAAATACTGGTTGGTCAGAGAACGTAGTGCCATTTGCGATTGTCGATGAGTATTATTTGGGCACAGACGCGTAAGAGACATATATATAGTCGTGGAGCGTGTTCTGTTCCTCGCTTTTCCTGTTGTCGATGTGTACTGTTTCGAGTGTCAGAGTGAGAAATATTTTGATGTAGGTAAGAATGAGACTCTAGATGATGGTGGAATGGTGTTAATCATTCATCAATTCTTACACCCAACCATTCTTAATTGATTTTGGTGACTAAAAAATCGTATGTTAAGAGGATCTTATAATATGAACTTTGTATTATGTGATAAAACAGGCATTGTAACTGAAAGGATCTGTGTAGTAAAAAGACCTTCTATTGCGTTAAGCTCTGTAATCGAATGTGTTAGCTAATCGATCGCTTCGAATCAAAAATAAGAATTTGTTTTCTATTGATAGTCATTCAATAGTTTTGTTTCGTTTTTTGAAAGCCAATTGGTGCTAGTGCTATTTATGATTAATAATGCGGCCAAATAATGTAAAAAGTGAGTAAGAAATAGACGCTTATGTTATGATGAAAGAAATCGTATAGGGTCAAATGTGATGAACTCATAATTGTGTTACTTTCTCTCAAAAAGCTGTATAATAACAAAGATCCGTGTGATTGTTTTCGAACCTTTTTATTTCATGATTCATATAGAAAGAATTAAAAAGAAAGAATTTTATTAAGTTGATTGTCAAATATTACCCAGTATGAATTCCATAGTAAGCTAGAATTTGCACCAAATGCTCCAGAAATACTAGGAATTGTTATTTCATCTGAATGATCGGCCAAATCAAGTTGTATACGATAACATATTAGAATTACCAGCAGCAGTTGCTCAATTACTACCGCCTAATAGCTAACGCACAATATTGCGTGCTCTATAATTTCGAACAAGAAGGCTATTTTTCAATGCATAAAACTAGACTCCAATAGGCAAGTTCAGCTGTGTACTGCTTGTTTCAGTACCTTGGATTCGTTCATGATCAATGTGCTTGATATTTAATGGGTTAGATAACACATAATCCAATGATTTCTTGTATTTATGATATATAATGCACCTGTGTTTGGATCATGTGTAATAGCATAATAATTGTGGATCCAGACAAACCTATTAAAACAGATTTTATATTATATCTTTTACTCAAATTGGTTCATTTTCGTAACTATACTATTAGGTTGGCAACAAAGTTTTTGCGTTGCTCTTTTATTTTTTATTTTTATTATTCAACTCCAAAAGTACAACTAGCTTTCAGTTTCATATGTACCAATACTATCTATGATTTATCGCGAACGTGAGCGTTGATGAGAGTGTGAGTGTGAGTGTAGGCATGGTGTGAGGAAAATATTATACACCCATATCCACCCACATCCATACCCACACTCACACCTATCTATACGCATCCTTATCCACACCTACCCACACGCACCCACACCCTTCTCTATCTGATAAGATATCTTGATTGGATTTTGTGATTGAACGATACTATACATGTTGTATATCAATTAAAGAAAAATTCATCCAAACTTTGTTAATTATAACCAGAGACGCAATAGTGACGTCTATTATATATCATTTTATATAGCTAAAACAATCGTATCATCATAAAAACATTAATTGTGGTTTCTATCACAATGTTGTCGTTGAAAGTGACATTGTTATCTTTCAATTTTTCTTCCAAAAAAGTAATTGCAACACCATGCAACATCTATGACGCAAGACGAGTATGTATTTTATGAGTAGAAAGAAAGAAAAAAGAAAAACACAGCTCGCATTTCATTAATAGTCGACAATGACAAATCAGACTTTCGCTAACTTCACTACTTTACCAGTAGAACTCGTTTACCGAATCCTGGATTATCAAACGGATATCACAATTCTCTGCTCAATGAGAAACGTATGTCAACGATTCAACAGTATTCTCGACAGTTATGATCGATATCAGGTAAACTTTCAGCTGTTGACTCTCAAATTATTTTTCATTTCGACAGTCTCTATCTAAGTAAAATGACTTCAATAACATATAGGCGAATAAACTATTTGCCATTCAAAGTAACTTATCATTTATTAATTTTTCTCAAAAGTTCATTTTCTATACTATGACAATATGAAAATAATAACTTGATAATCAAGAAAAAAACAACTTCTTTTTCTTTCGTTTTAATCTTACCTAAATATTCCACGTTTCGAACCAGATACAATGTTTAAATAAGAACGCAAAAAAGAGATGAAACATTGTTATTCGTCTTCTACTCATAATGTATCTAACATTATGAAATGAATTCTTTGACTTTTCACCTTTTATAAATCAGTATGGTTTCTTGCACACAACCCTATAATGCTCAGAGAAGCAACAATCGAAATTAATAAATATTCTAACCTATATAAATCATGCGCATGAATAGGATTTCTGATCTAAAACATATCAAGTCTCATGAATGGACATGAAAGAAACCCGTCCACCATCTACTGACAAGAAGCTATCATTTTTCATACCTATTGAATACTATCAAGTGATGCACCATACTTTAGTATGCTTTAAACCATTCAATACAATATATTACTCCTTAAGCACATAATGCAACGTTTTACACTACTATTCATTAACGAAAGATGCTTCCTTCTTCCACAGACATTTAAGAATTACAGCAGTTCATAGATAAAAATTGCTATGTATGCGTCGTCTTAGTAATTTCTTTTTAACGCAGCTGTTCATTCCACAATCATGAACACCGTGTAGCGTAAAAAATCATAAAAATATTTATAGTGGTATCCATACGCCCCTCAAAGGAGTCACATCACCATTCGATTCACTGATCTAAGTCCAGATAACAGTGACTAATTATTCTGTCTCTTCATCTATACTATGCCTTTATCTTCACTTTTTCATCTAGAAACTTACCACACTTAATCTCTATAACTATCAAATCACACATGTTCGAGTACAAGATTTGGCTAATGAATTACGATACAACACAGTAATTATCATTCTCTTTTCATCTATACCGTATCTTCACCTTCACCTTTTTATCTAGACGCTCACTACACTAAATCTTTACAACAACCAAATCGGAGACGTTGGAGCACAACATTTAGCAGATGGATTACGACACAACACAGTAATTCTCATTCTCTCTTTATCTATGCCATGTCTTTACCTGCGCTTTTTCGTTTAGACAATCATCACACTGAGTCTTTGTGTAAATGAAATCGGGGTCGTTGGAACTCAATATTTGGCTGAGACATTACGACACAACATGGTACTTGCCATTCTCTCTTCGCCTACACCTGATCTCTACTTGCATTTTTTCATCTAGACACTTACAACTCTAGTTCTCGCAAGGAATAAAATCGGAGACATTGGAGCACAATATTTCGCTGAAACATTACGACACAACACGGTAACTGTCATTCTCTTTTCATCTACATCCTATCTTTACCATCGCTATTCCACCTAGACACTTACCACACTACGTCTCGAGAAGAATAAAATCGGAGATATTGGAGTAGGACATTTGGCTGATGCATTACAAGACAACACAGTAATTCTCATTCTCTCTTTATTTATACTATGCTTTCACCATCACTTTTTCATCTAGATACTTACCGGACTATATATTTCATATAATGAAATCGGAGATATTGGAGCACAATATTTGGCGAATGGACTACAACACAACACAGTAATTCTCATCCTCTCTTCACCTATATCGTATCTTTACCTTCACTTTTTCATCTAGTCACTGGCTACACTAGATCTCGAATTTAATCAAATCGGGCAGATCGGAAGACAATATTTGTTTGAGACATTGCGACATCACACGGTATTTGTCATTCTCTCTTCACCTATATCATATCTTTACTTCCTCCTTTTCATCTAGACACTCACCGCGCTATATCTCTGTGGGAATAAAATCGAAGAAGATGCCAGAAGTTAAATTATTCAAATTTCTTCAGCGCAATACAAATGGAAGAAAATCGTAAATGCTAGTATTAAATATATTCCTATGAAGAACACATAGCGAGTGATGATGAGGATGCGTATATTTTTCTTGTGTTGTCATTGTTGCAAAAAGAGCCAATAAAATTACTGGTTTTAAAACTTAATACGTATTGAAACAATAGTTATAGCTTAGCATTATTGCTATGTGGTGATGGGGAGGATGCTGGTCTGGAATCATAAAATCGAAAAGCTTCTTCTCAGTGAGTCTGAACCAAAAATAGTTTGTAGAACAATGGCATTACAGCTTTGATAATACCGTTTGCGAAAATATCGCGTTTGAAATTTCTAATATAAACTGCATACTGTTTTTATTTCGTTTGCTTGCTATGCCACTATTGATAGAGAGCAATCATGCGATAGTTGTCTTTAACTGTTAATATTTTACATTGTATAAGCAATCAAGATGGTATAATAAATATTTTCGATTTACAAATATATTTTTTAATACACGTATATAATATTATATTTCCTATATATATTGCAAATACTATTCCAGAATCAAAAGTGGATGTTATTTTACTCTGAAGAAATAGATTATTTTTTTTTCCAGTAGCAATATTTTTGTTTTTCTCTAGATTTAAACTAGTCTGAGGGTAGTGCCGATAATAAACGATATTTATTATTTGTGTATTGTACCGCTTTAGGTATATTAGACTCAGATTATGTGAATTCAAAAATGCCATTGAAATAAAAATATCGAAGCGTATTATTATCCGTAAGAAGAAATATAAGAATCAGTATTTTTATGAACCAAATATAACATGCTATTTCAAAATAAAAGGCAAGTGGATATCGTTTGAGTAACTTTCGACAGGAACAATATAGATAACTACAATAGTCTTAGAAAACAAATTAGAGAAATGTTCCGAATAAGTTTTGATGCGATTTTATCGTCTTTTTCCAACAGTGGAAATCTCAGCTCTTCATATTGTTCTTATCGAAAGAGATTCAAAATCTCCAGTATCATTTATTAAATGAAGAAAATAATATAGATATTTTTTACTTTTATATATAAATATAACGATAGAAAAACATTTTTCTGCGATGGTAAAACTAGCTTAACTTCTGACGCCATCTATTTCAATGACATTGTTTCATATCTTAGAAAAAAAGCGTAAAATATATTACAAACATAAATGAAATTAAATATGAAAAATTCATTCTTTAAAGTTTTTTTTCATTTCATATAAAAGGTTAATGACCTGTTCACTGGTTTTATTAGTCAACCATTGAAAAAATAATACTCGTATATACTGTGTACTGTCCTACGCTATGTTAGCTCTTATTGACTGTCAAGAAAGTAAGCATAATACTTTGTTCAATGACTCATAAGTTCTATATGTATGTATATATATAGATTTTTTTTCTTTCTTTTATTCCAATCAATTTTGAATCTATTTATTTTTGACAGATAGGTAGAATTATTCATTTATAAAAGAAAAACATGTCATATGTAAATAGTAAGCTAATCATTGAACAAAAAATAATTTGAGTTCGTTCTATTTTTTGTTTTTTTTTTGTTAAAATTCATCAAAACATAAATTATTGTTGTTGACTCATTTCTTATTTTTTTTCTTATCAAGCTGGTCACATTTTATAGGATTGTCTTTTATTATTTTAATGAATATATATTCATAGTGCCGTACGATTCGCTTACTTTCTATCGACTTAGTCCAATTCTTTTTTTTTTGCGTTCAAGTAACACCGAGAGTGTTGAGGGTAAAAGAAAGAAGAAAAAAAAAGGAAAGGTCATACTATTGTTAGTTATAAAGAATAATTTGACAAGTACTACGTTCATTTTCTCTCTCTCTCTCATTTTTTTTTACTAATGTTTTATTAAATCGATTAGTATGATTTCTATCATTTATATGTCTTTTTCATATTATGAAAAAAATATTTTTTTTGTATTGTCTTGCTCATTGAATGAGACGTTTTTTTTTTATCGGTCGGTTGATAATGATTTTTTACAGCTGTTGCCGTGTGTGTGTGTGTGTGCTGTGAATGAGCGGATGTTGATAGGTAATGAAGGAAAATGGAAATTTCTATTCACTATCATTTAAATATATATATATTTAGTGGAAGATAGCTTTATGTAAAAAGACATAGGAATAAAATCGATAATAGATGATTGATTATATACTTATATATATTTTTAGAATTTTATGTGATTGTTTATCATTCCCTATTATAAAAATCTATTGTGATTATGAGTCAAGACGATATTCTTCAATCAACAAAAACAGTTATTCAAGGTCTTGAAGCTTTGAAAAATGAACATGGTAAAATGCTTGAAAATATTGTTGGATCAATGCAAACATCAACAAAAGATACAAATAAAATCGAAGAAAAAGCTGGTTTATTACGAAAATCAATGGATATGATTGAATTAGGTATCGGTGAAGCTCAAGTTATGATGCAATTAGGTAATCATCTACAGAATCTTGAAGCCGAAAAACATAAATTACGTACACAAGTTAAGCGTTTATGTCAAGAAAATGCTTGGTTAAGAGATGAATTAGCATCATCACAAAAGAAATTACATGATTGTGAACAATCCAATGCATCTTATTCAGTTGAACTTGAACATTTAAAATTTTTGAAAGATATTAAACAATATGATTTAAATGATAATAATTCATCAACAATAAATCCATCATCTGGTCAAACAAATGATCTTGTTAATGATCTTTTTCCAACTGATGATGATGCTTATATTGATCAACAAAATGCAAATGAAAGAAATCAATCGTATGCTGATTTAATGATGACACCATCACAATCAGCTAGTGGTTCATTTATATCATCAACTGGTTATGAAATACCAGCTAGATTAAAAACTCTACATAATTTAGTTATTCAATATGCATCTCAAGGTCGATATGAAGTTGCTGTACCATTATGTCGACAAGCACTTGAAGATTTAGAAAAAACATCTGGTCATCAACGTATGTTTTCAATTTTTAGATAAGAATTTTTCTTTTATATTATTATTTAGATCCTGATGTTGCTACAATGTTAAATATTCTTGCACTTGTTTATCGTGATCAATCAAAATTTAAAGAAGCTGCTGCTTTACTTAACGATGCATTAGCTATTCGAGAGAAAACACTTGGACATGATCATCCAGCTGTAGCAGCAACATTAAATAATCTAGCTGTTCTTTATGGTATGTCATAGGTTTATTTATTTGATTAAGTACATATAAATTCTCTTTTCTTTTTTCATAGGTAAACGAAATAAATTTAAAGAAGCTGAAGTTTTATGTAAACGTGCATTAGAAATACGTGAAAAATGTCTTGGTCCATTACATCCCGATGTTGCTAAACAACTTAATAATCTTGCGTTACTTTGTCAAAATCAAGGTAAATATGATGAAGTTGAATCCTATTATAAACGTGCTATTGAAATCTATATAAAAACTCTCGGTATTGATGATCCAAATGTTGCTAAAACAAAAAATAATCTTGCATCTGCTTATCTTAAACAACAAAAATATAAAGAAGCTGAACAAATCTATAAAGATGTTTTAACACGAGCACAAGAAAAAGATTTGTTAAATAAATCTGCTATTGCTACTCAACAACAAGAAAATCCAAGTGGAACAACTGGTGGTAATTATGATGCACAAGGTGGATGGTATAAAACAATTCTAACAGATCAACCAACAGTAACAACAACATTAAAAAATCTCAGTTTATTATATCGACGTCAAGGAAAATATGAAGCTGCTGAAACCTTAGAAACTTGTGCAGCAAAAGCACGAAAAGATCCACAAGCTATTATTCAAGCACTTAATATTGTTAAACAAACTAATTTAAATACTCAACAACCATCAGCATCAACAACAACAACTACTACTACACCTTCGTGATTCTTTTTCTTTTCTTTTCTTTTTTTTTAAACTCTTTTATCAATCTGAACAGTGGAATATTTCTATTGATCGTTTAAATTTGTTTTTCACTCTATGGAATTTTTTTTTTCTCTTCTGAATTTTATGGATCTGCCGTTTATCTTATACACGCTATGTATATGTTTCTTCTATCCAAAGCTATGAAACGGTACAATATATAATAAACCGTAAAACAAGCTTATCAAAGCAGTAGCTTAAATAATATCAATTTGTATTTAGACATATATATATGATCATGAAATAAAAAAAAACAATTGTCGTTTTTGCGAAATTTCTTATTTTATCAACCGTTAACAAATGAAGATAAATTAAAAATATATCGAAGTTTTATTTTTTTCGCTCACAGATATATCTTATAACATCTCTGATTGTATTAGATTGTGGCCATAGATTATCAAGTACTAATTCTGCTTGTTTTCTTATTTCTCGAATACGTTGTCGTGTTCCTTCAATACCTAATACATTTATATAAGTTATTGTTTGATTTTGTTGATCAATATTTTGTAATTTTCCAAGTTGATCAGTATGTCCTTCAACATCAAGTAAATCATCTTTCATTTGAAATAAAATACCCATTAAACGACCTAATTGACGAAGTTCATCTAACGGTTGTTTTTGTTCAACAAGAAGAACTGGACAAATAAGAGTAACTTCAATAGCTTTACCAGTTTTTAAATAAGCAATACGATCAAGTTCATTAATAGTTAATAATTTTTCATTTCTTGCTGATTGTAAATCAAGAAATTGTCCATAACAAAGTTCTTTCATTGATTGTGCTAATTCAGCAGTAACTCGATTTATACTTTCATATGAAAAATTTTCATTATGAAGATCAATAGTAACTAATTGAATAGCATATCCAATAAGATCAATAGCAGCTAATTGAGCTCGTCCTTCAGTCAATGATGATGGAATATTATTATAATCACTATCAATAGTCATATGAAGTGTTGGTTTTCCTCTTCTTAATGGTGCATTATCTTGTGCTGGTAGATCATCAAATATTAAACTACTTGTATGAAGATATTCAATTGCTCGAGCAAGTGGTAATATACGTTTAATATCAATATTATAAAGTTGTGCTACCATTAATAAAAGTAATGGTCGTAAACGTTTTCCACCAGCTTTTAAACTATGATTCATACCTTGAATTAATGGATTATTATCATTGTTTGTATCTATGAAGAGTTCTTTTTCGATTATAGGTAAGTAATCATATGCGAATGTTTCAAGTGTTCGATGATTATAAGAATAATTCTTTGCAAATGTGTTGATATGACGAAATATTGTTTTTTCTGGATCGCTAATATGATCAAATAAATATTCTAATGAAAGACAATATTTATATAGATCAGGATAAGATGTTGAAGTAAAAATTTTAAGAAATTCTTTCAAATCACTTCCAATCGCACGTAATGTTCTCATTATTCTTCGTCCTAAAAATGCACCAGTATTATTTTCACGATTACTTTCTAAATAAAGATCTTCACAAATAAATAAAAAAACAAAAAATGGATTTAATGTGACACCCATATGTTGTGCATAATATGTAACAGGTGTTATTGATTGTGTTTGACGATCTTCATGAAAATCTCGACAATCATCTGTTAGCTGTCCTAGAAAAGGCATTAACCATAAACGTTGATCATTTGGAAGTATTTTTGCTCCACTCATATAAACTGTTGCTGTATATGTAAAATGTGCTTTTAAAAGAGGACCAATAAAAATATCAATATCATTATAATCAGATCGATTTAAATCTTTTTTATCAATTCGTTGTGAACGAAGTAATAAAGCAAGATCAGTAAATGTTTGTACAGTAATGAAATTTTTTGATGTAAGTTGAATTAAACTATGAAATGTTTCAAGTAATAATGGAGTCATCGGTAATTCTGGTAGTGATGATAAATTCAACTGTTCACCACCACATAATATATCTTCCATTGTTTTAAGCCATGTATCAATATCAATTTGCTCTTGATTATCTTGAAGACCATCAACAAGTGCATAGGCAATACCATAATAGAAACCCATTTGCAGTGCTTGAAAAATTTTTTCATCAAGTTCATCTTGTTCATCATTCACAGCAAAACCATAAAGTCGTGCTATACCAACACCAATAGTCGTACGTACAAGTCGACCAAAAGCACCTTGATTAGTAAGTTCAATTGGAAATGTTTCTAATGCTATTCGCCATTTTTCTAATAACCATGTCCATTCATCAATATATTTCAATGGTGAAAGAATATCTCCTGTTGATGAAAAGGATTCAGATGAATCAGTTTTTAATAAATAGACAAGACAAGATATTGTATTGAGAAATGCATGAATAAGAGATATAAATCGATTATTAATAGATTTTTCAGTATCTACTGAACGTCCAAAACGTAAAAGCTAAAATAAATGAATAAAAATGAATCTCTCCTTAATATAATTACCATGAAATCATCGGCTAAATTTCGAAGACTCATTAAATATGATTGTTTACTTTTAAGAATAAATATTGCTTTCGTAAGAAGATTTGATGCTTGATGAAATTCATTTAATTTTGGTCGTTTTATCATTTGTTTCATACCAAGATTAATCATTTCTTTCAATAACTGTAAATCAGGAAGTTGACGATGTTTATAATTATGAAATAAATTTGTTAAATATTCTCGTCCAATATTTTCTGCTTTTTCATATTCTTCATCTAAATGAATTTTATCTTGATTGATTAATAGAATTTGATTCTTGTCAAGTTGTTTAGGTGTTAATTTTTCAATAATACTATTTTGATACATTAATAACAATTCTTTATCAGAATCATATGTACTATTAGAGAAAATAGTTTTTGCTTTTTGTAATTGTATTTGTTTCCATTGATTGTTTATAGTTGATGATGATGATGATAAAATATCATCTGTTGTAAGAAATTGTTCAAGATTATTTTGAAATTTAGATAAATGTGCTTCGATTTTATCAAATATTTCATCAGTCCATTGAGAAAATTTTTCAATGGATACAATATTTGAATTACTTTGTCTAGGATAAGATTTAAGATCACGTTTTAAACGACGACGAATATGTGAAAGTGATGTTAAATGAAAAAGATTTACTGTTCTTTTCTTCGAATATTCTTCTAATTTAGTAAAAATAAACTTTTCGAGTTTATCTCGTTCCTCAGAATCACAAGTAAAAGTTTCCTCTATTAATTCAATAGGATTAACATGATTAAAAATACATGGTAATAAACGATGTATCGATTTGTCTATAACGAAATTTTTATTTTGTAGAATAACGATAAAGAATCAAACTTACATTCAGACTGCATGATACAATAAGTTTCAGTATAACAAAAATTTGTTCATGTAAATATATCATGTCATAATTTCCTACTTAAGTTGGAAAAAATGGCAAATGATTACTTCTCTTTCATTCATTGCCAAGACGACTAAATTATCGCCACAGGATACTAATAGAACATGAGTAATCTTTTATTTATCGAAATCCTGACTCTTTTTTTAGGTGAATTACTCATAGAAAGTTTGATTTGTTGATTATCATTCAAAGTTTATTGACAAACAGCAAGGTGTAGAAGTAAATGCACGAATGTAAAGTTTAAACGAAACACTTTCATAAATAGAAATGTGGAAGTCTGATATTTCATATGATCCTATTAGTAAATATTGACTGAAAACATGAATTGTTCTTTTAGAATAATACTAAAAAAATTATTCATAAAATATCGTTGTATTCTTCCAATCTGTATGTACTTTCAGTATTTGCATATTATATCCTGTATGAAGATTTTTTTATAATAAGAATCCAACGTTTTTATTGCTAAAAAGAATGATACCCATCCAAACAAATGACAATAGTTTAAAAAATAAAGTTATTTTTTTAACGTTTTCCTTTTCTCTTTCCTGCTACTGATTTTCCAGGTGGTGGCATTGGTTTTGATTGAGTTGATGTAGCTCCTGTTGTCGTCGTTTTCGATGTTGGCATCGATCGTTGAGCACCAGAAGCTGTTGTTATCGTTGTTGTAGCTGATTGATCAGATCCAACTGTACCTTGTGTACCTCTTCCTACAGCTGCTTGTTTACCACGTTTTCCTCGTTTACCACGATAATATGTACGTTCACGTAATGGTAACCAACGTTCAGGATCAGGTTTTGATGATGGATCATATTTTTTAGGTAATTGAACTTAAAAAGAAAAATAAATTCTTTTTATTTTTTAATTAAATATAGATTTACTTTTGCGTTTTCGTTTTTTCTTTTGTTTAGCAGCATTTGTTGCAGCTGCAGCTGTTGGTGTTGCTTTTGAAATAACGGCTTTTGTTCTTTGAAAACAAAAAAGAATATACTTTTTACAGAAATAATTTCTTTACTTTTCAGTTGTTTTTTCAGTTTTTGGTATTCGTTTACCAAATGTTGATTCAAGCATATCAGCATCGATACCTTCAGCTAATTGTTTAATTGATGGTAATTTTTGTGCTAATAAATTAGCTCGTTCCGGATCAGATTTTAAATAATGAACAATTAATTTTGATAAAATATTTGTATCATTTGGATAAAGTCTAAAGATTAAAAAAAAATATTCTTTTTCGAAATCATAAATTAATATTATACTTATGAAGAATTTCAAGCATTTCAGTAACTCGTTGTGCATTGCCTTGTTTTTCTTGATAAATTATATTTTGTTTAATTAAATATGCGAGTGCACGAGAATTTTTTCCTTTTGTTCGATCAAGATTATATAAACGATCAACAGCTTCATTAAGAACTTGTGCAGCAGATTTAGAATCTTCTAAATAATTATAAAGCGTAACTAATGTTGCTACCTAAAAAATAAAGAATTCGAATAATAGAATAAAACCAAAAGAAAGATATTTACAATGCCTGGTTTAACTAATAATTCATTATCATTTCTTAAATAATCACAAGCTTGATTTACTTTTCCTTGTGAAAGAAGAAGTTGTACAAATGTTAAACGACAATAAAGTGAAACATGTTTTTGTTTATCATTTTGAATAAATTCTTGTAATACTTGAGTTGCTTCCGGTAATTTTTTTTCTTTGATTAATAATGATACTTTTGCTAATGGAATTGTATCATCAGTATCATCATTTTTCTGAACCATTTTATCAAGTATTCGTCGAGCAGTTTCATGCTATAAAAGAAAAAGGAAATTTGATTTATTTAATGCGTTGAACTATTATTAATTTTGTTTTTATATTAACTTGTCCTGTATAGATAGCTAATAATGCTTCGTTAACTTGAACAATTTTCTTTTGAAAAGCATTTAATTTCGGTTCGGTTTCAGGTGCTGTAGCTGTTTTAATACGTTTACGAGAATCAAATAAGTTTTGATCACGATTTAATACTGCTAAATTATTTGATGCAACAGCAATAACAGCTAAGTCTGTTGGTCTAGAAAACATAGATAATATATAGAATTTTGAAAATATATATATTAGATAGATAATACTTTGATTTGAGTACATCATTATAAAGTGTTAATGCTTCGACATTTTTATCTTGTTGTTGAAGACAATACGCTAATTGTACCCTAAAATATTCAGAAGAATTTAATAGTATAAGATTCAATTTAATCACATGGAGAATGGTATTTTGACATAACTAATATGCTAATTAATACTCATGAGACTATACACTATCCTGTTATTATACGAAAAATCTTATTTACATATTATAGTGACACTAGAAAAACATATTTAGCATTGTTTATTGTTTTATCATCGATAATAACTATTGGTGTTAAATTGAGTATTTTAGTAAGATAATGCAGATTATCATATTCACTGTTTAATAGAATTATCATTAAATATAAAATAGTTCATCTTGAAGTTTGCAGAAGTTTTCTATTTCTATTATAGAGACAAAAAAAATCAGTCACTCTCAATTTTAAGCTGAACATTACGATATTATCTTGAATCATCTATTAGCTAATGCATTGCATTTACTTGAACGTTCATTTAATATTCAGCACTTATCGAAGCTACTTAAAAAAATGATGGACTTCCTGTTTTCAAGAAAAAAATTTTAGTTTAATATATTTTCATAGCAAAATTTATCTTAACTTAATTATTAATTTAATAAAACAAAATTTTACCGAATATTAGCAGTTTCACGTAAGATTTCTTCTTCTGTCATATCTCCTTCTTCTTCTAATTCACGTCGACATTGAGCTAAAAAACAATTTAAATATTAAATTTCATTAAGAAACAAAATATTTCAATGATTTTTCATACCATCAGCTTTTCGAAGTTTACTTTCAGCTTCAACGTATTGACCTGAACTAAGAAGAACACATGCTGAATTATATGTTGTATCATATGTTTCATCATTTAAATCATTTGATTCCTAAAAGAGAAATAAAGTTATAAAAGTAATGAATCAATTGAATTTTACCATTTGAATTTTGCTTGAAGCATCTGTTAATTTCCAAGTTGATAAAGCAGCAATAAAATTTGCTTGACGAATTGATTGATATTCATCATCATTATTTTTAAGTAATGAACGATAAGATTCAACACATTCATTGTATTTTTCTAATTTAAAAAGCTTGAAAAAAAACAATATAAAATTATGAAAAAACCAATTCTATTATTAACTAACCACTTGTGCAAAAAGTTCTTGTTCACGTTCATCTAATTCTCTTTCCGTATTTTTTAATGTCTTATACGAATCTTCAATACGATTAAGACGATATTCACAATATGCACGTTCAAATATCAAATCTCTAAATTTTTTTTGTTAAATTTTTATCAATAAAATTTTCAAGTTATCTACCCTGTATCTACTGTATTTTTAATAACTGTAGTTAATGCTTCATCGAATTTATCAAGTTGCATTAAACAAATTATTTTACAATGTGTTGCCTTTTTTTCATTACTTGAAATACCCAATACTAAATATTCGAGGGAAAAATACAGTGAAAAATATGAACATTTATTTATACTTTTTTTCGTCACTTTCAAAGCTCGATCCCAATCTTGTGTTTGTCCATATTTTTGTAATTCAGCATATAATGGCCGAATTTGTTCGTCAATTTTTTCTTGTTTTTCACTCGTCATCTGAAATATCGAAATAAACAAAATGAATTTTTTATTTTCTTCTAGAATTATAAAACAAAATAAATAAAAATAAACAATTTTTATTTGTTTTTAAGAAAGTAATCCTCGATTGGCTTTTTGTGCAGCTCGATCACGACGATGATGATTTCCTTGAGCTGATTTATGTGCATCTTTATAACGTCGATTATGTTGAACAGTGGTTGTTTGACCACGACCACGAGCATTTCCAACAACATCATGCTGTTGCGGTTGTTGTTGTTGTTGCTGCTGTTGTTGTTGTTGATTATGTGATTGATGTGGTCGATAACGTTGTTGCCAAGCTGCTCGTTGTTGTGCCCATCGTTCACGAACAACTTCAGGATTTTCAACAAATTGTTGACGACGTTTATTCTTGAAAAATAAAAAATTAATCAATTAGAAGAAAGAAAAATATATTCTATACTTGATTTTGATTATCATCATCTTCTTCATCACCATCATCATGCTGTTGACGAAAACGTCCTGGTTGTTTTCCAAGTAATCTAAGGAACAAGAAAAAAACTTTTAATTTAGAAATAGAAATTTGATTAAATATCAAACCTATTTTCGTTCTTTGCTACTTCATTATCAATTGTATCATCTTTATCTCTAACATTGACAATTCCATCATCATATGTATCATCATATTCATCATCATATTCTCCATCAGTTAGATCTGCAACAATTCCTAAACGAGAATAACGTTCATCCATGCCTTCTAAATGTGATTTATCATCCAGAATTGATAAAGTATCTCGTGTTCTACAAAAAATAAAATTATATATATAAACATTATTATTATATAAAATATATATATACAGACTTTTTTCCTTGATGTATTTTTGAAAGATCAACATTTGCTCGATTATAGAAATCAAATTCATCATTATCGTATACATTCAAACGTTGTCCAACAAGAGAAAGATTTTGATTGAACAATGATTGATCATAATCATCATTAATATTTGTTGTAAATTCTGGTATTATTGATGATTTATATGATGTTTCAGTTTTGAGATGTTCTGGAACAGTATTATCAAAAAGAGCATTGACAAGACGTTCAGTATTATTATCATAATGATCGAGACAAGTCTAAAATAAAAAATTCGTTAAGTATTTTTCTTTCTATAGATTTTATGATGAATTAATACATGATTAATAACATTCATCTTATATTTCTTATCTTAGCTATATTTATAAATAAATGCCTACTGCGATTAGACCTTGCAGCAATGAATGAATAAATTCTTGTTGTTTTTTTTTATATTAATACATTCTTTTCTCTGATTCTATGCAGATGAGTTCATTGAATACAAATAACAAGAGGAAACACATACACAATCAATAATAGTGAAAGCAAATATTCAATCAATTGTCATTTGTTATCCATCATATTCTTGCCTATTTAATAATGTCTACTTTTATATATATTTGACATCCTATTTTTTTTTTTAGTTGTTCTAATAAAAATATAACAAAAGCAATGCTCATGAGAGATATGCTTATTTCATCGACATGACTTTTATTCATTCATTTGATCTTTTCAATATACAAAAAGGGCAATTTCTTCATTTACTTTTATAATCATAAGTTGAAAATGATTATATCTTCTTTATAACTATGAAAAAAAAAACTATACTGAACTTTCTTCTCATTTCTATTCTTTGTCTATCATATCTAATATGTAAAAAAAGAAAAAAGATATTCTCTCTCTTTCTCTCGTTTTTTTTTCTCTTTTGACATACATCCGCACATTTATATCATACTTGAATAGGTAACGATAATAATAACGTTTTAATGCATGACTACACGTACAGTACGTGCATGTGTTTGAGAAAAAAAGAAGAAGCAATATTTCCCATTTGATTTTCAAACGTACTGTTTAACATTTAGAACACGTCCGTCGATAATCAAAAAAACGAATCTAATCTTAGACAAACGAAAAACAATAAATGGGTGCTACGCCATCAATCCCGGAATCGATTGATATTGATGATATTACAAATAATACAGGTAAATAAATTGATTTAAAAGAAGAATTTTAAAGAATATGAATAGGTCTCTCAAAAAAACAAATCTCATCCTTATGGACACGTTTTTATGAACTTGATTGTGATGCTCGAGGTGATGCAAAAGGACATAAAGGTTATTTAGATGTCGATGATTTCGGTCGTGTACCAAAATTTGATGAAAATCCAATAGCACCTCGATTAATAAAAGTTATTTTCGATGATTTTGGTTCAGATGGGAAATTATCATTTCCACAATTTGTTGCCTTTATGAGTACATTTGGTCAATGTGAACGAGGTGGACACCACCAACATCATCATAATCATAATCACAATCATTCAAAAAATCATTCCATGCAAACAACAGCATTAAATAATATTTCTTCAACAGGAACAAAAACGCCTCTTGAAAATGTCCAATATTGCCCAGATGATACGCCAAAAACACGCAAAATCAAATTTATGTTTCGTGTATGAATTTTTTTCTATTATTTATTTATTTATCTAATTACTATTCTTTTAGATGTATGATATTGATCGTGATGGACATTTATCAAAAGAAGATATACAAGAAACACTTAAAATGATGGTAAATTAATACGTCACTGAAAGAGAATTTCGGAGAATTATAAACCCTCAAAAAAGATTTATAACTGAAAAATTCGTTTATCAACGTGCTCTACACCTTGATAGACCCTTTTTTCTTAAAAAATCCAAGAAAGGTTTGTTATACGTTGCAAACTGATAAACCAAAGGGCTTATCAAGAGAGAATCAACCCTTTGGTTTATCAATTTGCAACATATAACAAACCTTTCTTAGGTTTTTTAAGAAAAAAGGGTTTATCAAGGGGTAAAGCACGTTGATAAACGAATTTTTCAGTGATGTACACTTCCAATTTTTCTATTCTCATTTTTCTTAGGTTGGTAAAATTAGTGATGATGAAGCATCAATTATAGCCGAAAAAGTTATTGGTGAATTTACTAATGAACAAATGAATTCAAAAGTTTCACTTGAAGTATTTGAAACAACACTTCAAACCCTTGATTTTAATGATAAAATGGGTTTAAAACTTTTAAAATAATCTTCTAGTTTGTCACATTTTATTTTCTATCAAACTTACTTCAATATATGCTTCATCTAAGTGAGGAAATAGATCTTGAATCATATGAACATCTGGATTTGTTGATTTTTTTATTGAAGTATTACCAGAGGCAGATGCTGTTGTCGTTCCTGCTGATGGCTATAAATAGAAATAAATGTTTCTTTTCATAATGACATGATTTATATTTATATAAAATCAAAATAGTATATATAGAATTTTCAGTACTTTGCAGATAATCTGCGAATTAATTGTTTTAATACAGGCTTTTTTTTATTGTTTTTTAATGAGAAAACTGATATAAGGATATGTAACTTGAATGACTTGCCTAATTAAATAGAATTCAACAGGATGATACTGTTCTACTGTATGATATAATAATTTAACGTGTAACTTGAGTAGATTGCGATAGAATTAGTGTACAAATAGTTAGCTAATCAATACAATACCATTTGTATGAGAAAACATGTTATTTTAGTCTAGTGTAGAGGTGGTGGCTTAGCATTAGAACTGAAAATAATGCATTGATTTATTTCTCAGCGAAAGTTAATTAATGCTGAATTTTTGGAATTAATAGTAGCATTAGTGGTACTAATGCCAATTTAGTGCAGAAATCGATATTAAATGTTTCCTTTACGAAAATAAACCTGTGCATTATTTTTACATTAATTCTAAACCACCATCCCTAGTCTAGTGTCTTATAATGCAGTGAGTTTGCCAAGCTTAAGTTACACCCGTAGGGATGATTTCTATACATAATAGTAGACTAAAACATATACTTATTTAGAACTATACAGAGAAGGAAACTCTATAAGTGTAATAGAAACAATCAGAAAGTTTAGATTAATATATTCTACAAGATGTCAGTTCTGCTTTATTTTAATCATTTATTTCCAAGAGTAAAGAATATTATTATGAGTAATTATATATAATAGTTTTCATACTTGAAAAGAAATTAATATAAGTTAGACAAAAGAATGTTGATATATTATTCATGTACACAAAATATCGAATATCTCAATCTTTTTCATCTATCCATTTTAAATGCAATTATTAAATTCATAGTAAATATCCTAATCAAAAAAATTTAAATATCTAAAACTCAGGAAATGAAACGGACATTAGTTTTTTGATGCATTTGATTTTCATTGATTAAAATAAAAATTTGCTTTTTAATTAGTAAAAATGAAGTACATCATTCTCTGAAAAGACTAATATGGCTATCGGGTTCCATTCTATAATATTTTTTCTCTTCTTTTATATTCATTGTCAAGTTATATTTTATTAACTTCTGCATGACTATAAATGAGCAAGAAATATTAAAAAATTAATGGACATAGTTTTATTCTTAGTTTTTACAGAATTTTGCTTTAGTTGATATGATATATAATCTCATAGCTAAAGCTCAATTTCAATGGTTTCAGAGCCGTAAAAATGTAATTTTTCGGAGTTATAACGGTAAATACGAGAACTAATTTTCCTATTATTATTTCAATACATTCTATATCCGCTAATGAGTAGAAATATACTATTTTTATTCTTATAAATGAATCTCAGAAATAACTTACAGATTTTAGTTTCTGTTTACACGATGGAGTTCCATAAAGTTCAATTGCTTCTTTAACAGCATCTGTATAATGTTTCACTTGATCTTCATCTCTAATAATAGAAATAAAAAGATTATTTCATATTTATTTTTTTTTTGTATTTTATTTACAAAAGTTCAGTTGTTTGATGAACAATATCAAGAATTTCACAAAGATTAAAATAATCTTCATAGGCTGATAAAAATCGTTTTTCTGTTATTAATTGTGAAAATATATCAATTAATGATTCAACATTTTCAGTTTTCTTTCTAGATAGGAAGAAAATATTTTTATTTTTTCATTTTAACAAACAATTCTTACTCATTTATAAGTAATGGATCAATACAACATGATGTTAATAAATCATTAAATAAATGTATTGTTTCATATTTTGTTTCTTCAAATACATCACTAAATAATCATTAGAAAAAAAGTTTTATAATTTTCATTAATTCTATTTTAATTTACTTATAATTATCAATATCATTTGATTGTCTAATTCGTTCATAGCTACGTAAAAATGTTTCAAATACATGACTTAATCTATTCAGATGAAAAAAAAATATTTCTCTTAGTTTTATTTCGTATATTTTTAGCATACTTGCGTTAAATGAAATTGTTCATTGAAAAATATAATTCGTGCTTGAGGATAAACAGAAAATAAACGATTTATTGTACAACTTAAATCAAGAATATAATAAAGTAAATCAACTATTTCTTCAACTTCAGATGATTTTGTTGTTGTTGTTGTTGTATTATGAAGTTTTTTTGGACCAGATGGAGTATAAAATATTTGAATTCGATTTGTAATTACCTGAAATATAATAAGAAAAAGAAAATTCTTCAAAATTTCAATATGCAATGGTGGATACAGATATTGTGCTCTAAAAAATACAGTAACGAAAAGTTTCGCTCTCTCTCTCTCGGCGAGTTTAATCATCTCTGAAAATTAAACTATTGAAAGAAAAATACACGAATATATTTCATATTGATTTACTATCTTTATAAATATCTACTGATTTAAATCTCAATCAATACAAAAATCAAACATTAAATATGTAGATGGTGTTTAATTCGTATTTACATCTTTAATTGATACAATAGCATTTGTCAGATCATTATGATATGCTTCTTGTTGTTTAAATATATTTCCTATCATTTTACTTAATAATTCTTTATTATTGATTGCATATAATGAACATATATCAAATAAACGTGGTATATCAAATATATAATTATCATAAATAACTTGACCAAATCCTTGTGGTGTGAAGAAATTTTCCTATATTAATATTGATTAATTAAATTTAGAAATAATACAAAAGATAATAATTTTCTAGACATACGGATGATTCTTTATAAGTAGACAATCGAAGAATACACATAAACATTAAACGTGATACATTCTCTTCTAATTGTTTGCCATTTGGAACAAATGAATAAGTATTTGGTGTAATAGTTCGTTGTGGTCTAAAAGATAATTTTACTTAAAAGAATATAAAAAATGTTTTTATTTTATTTTACCGTGGTGCATATCTTAAGTACGAATCAAACATTGAATGAAAATCTTTATTAAAAGCAACCTAAATTAAAATATTAGATTTTATTATAAAAAAGAAAATATTCTTTTCAAAAATAATACAAACTTCACACCAAAATTTCGTATGATTTTGTTGTAATAACCATGTTAAATCATCACATATAAACGTCATTCGTTCAATCCATTGCTCAATAGCTGATCCATCTTCTATATCTGTTGGTAATGGTGTATATGTTACAAAATAATGTTGTTCCGTACCAGATGAATGCTATCAATAGAATATAAATATATAAATATCATAAATTTTTATTTAAAATTTACCAAAACAGGAACTTTTTCTTCTATAATTCCTTTTTTTACTAATTTAAATTGCTGATCAAGTGCAATAGCCATGTTTTCGTGTAATTTCAAGATAATCGAATGATGAAAATCAAGTTTTCTCTCACACTTTTTTATGCACACGAAGTCCGTCTTTCAAATAACCAATCTAAAATCATCACTAACACTCTATTAGCAAAATAAATCAATAATTTTGTTTATATTAATATCATCAAAATTATATTTAATAATAAACTTATATTATAAATTAATTCGTTTTTCTATAATATTCAAAAAGTATTTTTGACAAAGTGCATAGATGCATTAATTCAATGCATTAAGCAACAACCAATCATTATTCTATTCTTTTTTCTGTGCCCCAAAATTCTTGTTTTGTTTGTCGTACTGTTTACATGTATATCTCTGTATATTTGCTATAACATCACACAACGTCTAGTTAATGTATACACAACGAACAAAAAACTATTCAATCATTTATTTATTTGCCATATATATTCAAATATGAAACGTTAATGTTTTCTATCGTATTCTTCAATTAATAAGAAGAAAAAAATCCTTGTTTCAACATTCACATTATTAGTAAGTGTTAACATAGTAAAAGAAATCTTTTCTTCATTAAATAATCGAATAATCTTGAAAATTTATCGTTGATTTTTATCTCTTGATTTAAACACAAGAGAAACGAAGACAAATGGTGAAAGGTTTTAGTTACTTATCGAATGAATCTATCTAAGAGTATATATATGCATGTATTTCATTTTCTTCTCCATTTTTTTTCATGTCGGCTGTTGCTGTCTGTCTACATGCGTCCGACCACATCGAGCGAATATAAGCCCAGAGAAGAATAATCGTACGACGATAAGAAGAAAAAAAGAAAGACTACACATTGGTTGCATTTACTTTTCTCTTTTTCTCGTCAACATCAGACTTATTTGACAAAGAAGAATAGACAAAAAAGAAAAAAAAAAGATTCTGAAAGAGTAGCATCTGGTTCTTCGTTCTATTAGCAAATAAAAATATATTCAGAGTTAATATTCGAATAAAAAACAAATGTTTAATTAAAAAAATGATTCAATTGTTTCATATTACCTCAATGAAAACGATCGAAAAAGAAAAGAAACAGGAAAAAAAAATGATTTTCTATTGTATGTAGTATTATGTTCCTTTCTTTGCGTTGTCAAATCTTTTTCTTCCTACATCGTTCCTCTCATCCAATCAACGTGCAATTTAACGTAGGTCAGGCATGCCTCGCACACACACGCACGATGCCCGAGATTGTCATTAATGTATATGTGTAGACTATAGCTACCACCGCTGCCGAGCTCGAACGAAGAGAAAACAACACAAACTAAAGAAAAGGAAAAAAAACGACCATCGAACCAAACCTTTTGATAGATCGAAGGAACGGATAGGAGGAGGGAGAGAAAGGAAGAGGAAAGAAAGAAAAAAAAAGCGACAGACTCATGCGTCTTCTCTCTCTCTCTCTATACGCATATGTAGCCAAAAGACATCGCTGCACTCCTGGGGTAGGCTGTTGCTGCTCTCTCTCTCTCTCGATTTCTTTTTCTTGTCGTTCGTTTTTGGGCAATTCTTATTCGGATAATGATAAATAAAAATATTTATTTTTTAGTTTGTGTATGACAGTCCGCATATGTTCACACCGACGATTATTATTACCAATGCAGAGTGATGTTTTAAACGAACAACAACAACAATTATCGAACGATATTGATTGTTCATCTTCATTATCCACAACAACTGCAACAACACTTATTTATTCGGGTTTAAAATTGGTTTGTTTGATTATTATTAATGAAAAAAATCAAAATTATTTATGTTCTTTACTTTTATTTAGCATCCAAAACCACTTGTACCTACAATATCAATGCCCGGCGTGGCAAGTCCATTATCAATCGTGAAAAAATTATCACTCCGTATGTTTATTTATTCTTTACAAAAATAAATAATATTAAACTTTTGATTATTTTCTTTTAGCTGATTCACATTTAGATAATTCAAATAATAATATAAGACATACATCATCATCATCAAATTCTACAACAACAACAACTCCATCATCTATACGTCTTGTTACACCAACAGGTAAATCATCACCTCCAACAAATTTACAATTTCAATTAACTGATAAATCATCAACAAATGGAGGTTTTTCAACATCAAAAACATATATTTTAAATCCTCAACCGAGCAGTACAACAACAGTAAATAAACAACAAATACTTCCAAATTCGACTTCATCATCATCATCAACATCATCATTAGTAACATTAATTCCACCTGGAACAACATCACCTAAAATTCAAACATTAAATAGTGTAACAATATCATCTACAAATGATATGTCAACAACAACAACAACGGATAAATCCTCATCAACAAATTCTAATCAATCGGTTTTTTTATCAAAAAATCGTGTTACACTTGTACAACCATTAATATCAAATTCAACTTCTTCATCATCATCGACAACAACAACAACGAATTCATCAAATAATGTAACACCAAAATTAGTTATTCAACAAAATACAAATCCATCAACAACAAATAATAATTTTTGGCAACAACAACAACCACAAGCAACTAAAATTTGTAAGTTCTTTTCTTTTTGTAAATAGAAAAATACAAAATTATTGTTTTTTCTTTATAGTTTCAATTCCACAGTCATCAATTTTACCAACAGGTATTTCAATTGAACTATATATACAAGAAAATGATCGAATCAGATCTTTTAACAGATACATTTAAACATATTCAATTGGATAGTACGATTATCGTTATAATTTAAACTTATTTATTCGTTTCGATTTTATACATGATGATATAACTGACTCGATAAAAAGTCGATGAATCTTTAACATATGAATGAGTTTAGTTGCGTGTCTAATCGGTTCTATATAATCGACTATAGATATAGTATTTTGTGTCTCCTGAGCTTTTGCTTTTTTTTTTAAGAAATGATTTTGAATTAAAAGCAGTTGATTAAAGATACAATCAATCATAGAATAATATAAGGAAATACAGTTTCATCGATTCTAAAGCATTGAAAGTTTAAATGTAATATCAAGACAAACGAATTTTTCATTCTTGAAAAAGGATAGATTTTAGAAGATTCAAAAAAATAGATCGAAAATATTCCATTTGAAATGACTTCAATTTTCTCTTCTAGCTAAAATGCTTTCACGTCCAGTACAATTAATTCCTACTTCGATATCATCTTCTGAACATCATCATCATCATCATCATCATCCACATATAACTCATGTTCAAACAGTTAAAACTGAAAAACCTGATTCCTATCCAATAAGTATGCATTTTGGTTTATCATCTCCTACAACAACTGAAAATCCATTAACACCATTAAATGTTCAAGTTCCACATCAACATTCATATTCTACAAAAAATTTCGATTCATCCGGTCATCCACCTTATATACATATGCAATTATTACCACCAATATCAAATTCCGAATCAATTAATTCAACACAACAACCAGTTCAGTTTACACTTCCAGCAACAACACATTTATATTCATCAACATCATCATCTGTTCTTATATCAACTACACAACGTTCAATGGATCATAATAATAATCATCAATCAACAACAACAATAACTACACCAATTATTCGTGAAATGCAAACCGATGAAAAACTTAATGATTCAACAATTATTAAAAATCGTATGAAAAGAAAATAAAATTTATATAACAATATTTTTATTTTGTTTTATAGTTCATCATAATAAAATTTCGACTAAAAATCGAACGCGCCTTCCTTTACAACCATCAACTCAACAAACAACACCAACTACAACATCAATTATACCACCTTCGTCATCATCTATAACAACAACAACTATTCGACAACCTAAAAGACATAAACTCATCGACAAGTATGAAAACGAAAAAGGTTTCTTATTTTCACATATATCACCTATTTTTGTTTTAGTGAACAAATATCATCCGATGAACCACCAAATAAAATCTCTCATTATGAACAGTTAGATTCAACATCATCAAAAAAACTTTCAAATTCTCGTAATCGTCCATTATCGAAATTTTCTATTGAAAATACAACACCACAAACATCATCATCAATTACTATTGATACAAGTGGTATAACGAAAAAACGTAATTCAGCTGAAACAGCTAATGCTGCTATATTATCACGTAAACGACGAGTAATAACAAAATTAAATCATGAATTAATATCGAATGAAAATATTAAACAAGAATCATCATCATCATCTTCGGATATAACTATTGATCAAATTGATGATGAACTTCTAAGACGATTATCACAAGGTAAAAACGAAATTTATTGATTTGAATATTTGATTTTCTATTGTGGTTTTTTCAAGATTTTGTTTATATTGATAAACAAACAGGTATTCGTTGGATTGGAACAAAATCTCGGCCAAAACCAATGAGTACATTAGTATCACGATTTTCATGGAAACCAAAAATAAATCATTATGAAAAATATTCAGATATTATTCGAACGAGTAAATATTTAATTATTTTTAAATTCTAATATTTTATAAAAATATTTAGATCCTAAACGAACTGTACCTGTAAAAAGTGTTGATACTATACGAAAAAAATTAACTGAACCATGGACATCGTGGCGTATTGATCGATTAACAACATATCTATCCGATCTGGTAAAAATATTTTATTTATTTCGAAAAAATAGATTTTTCAATTATTTTCTTCTAGACACAAGATGAACAAATGACACAAAATCAATTGTCAGATATGACACAATTATTAGATATTGATGATCAGTCGATACGAACGACAGTTGAAGATTTAATTGAGGTAAGATGAAATATCTAATTGATAGGATACAGAAATAACAGGTCTCAGAGATTTTCGCGATTGATGTTTCTGCTGTTTTGATTTCGGAATAAGAAAAAAATCTATTCAGGTTACTTTATTTATCTAGATATCATTCTCAGAAAGATGAAGACATAGTCATTTATAAACAAATAATTGATTTTATTTTAGCGAAAACTATTCGTACTTTATTTAAGTTTTAAAATCATTTAGAAAAGAATCCTAAAGTAAATGTACTGTACCTTAAATAATTGCTCTTTTTGTTGGATTAATGAATATGAATCTTTGTTTCTAGGCTAATATTCAACGGCATCGTTGTTTTTGTGATCAATTAAGTCAAATATCGAATTTACTCGTTAATTTACTTGATCATGGAAATACATTACGAGATATATGTTCAATGTCAAAACCTTCAACAACAAAACGAACTAAAGAACGATAGCATATATTTGTTTATTTCTTATAAATATTGTTTGTTTGTTTTTCTTTTTCTATAAAATCTCATTGAGATGTAATTGAACATGGCTTTGTTTATGCAATAAGCTTTTCTTCTTCTTCTTCTTCTTCTTTCTTCTTCTTCTGTGTACCGGTGGTTGTTTTTGTCTTTTGTTTCTGTGGAAAAAAATATGAAGAAAAGAAAATTAATGTTTATTGACAACAAAAAAAAACAGATTTGATAAAACTTCTAATAATGATGATTATGATCATGATATTGATGACAATAATAACAATTATAATTATAATAATAATAATAACAATAACGATATAGAAAATGAAGTTCAATCCGAAAATTTCTTCTTTTTGTTTTCTATTTTCATTGAACAGTTTAATGTTTGATATCAAACAAGAATAACTTATGAGAAATAAAAAACAAACAAATATATTATGAATATTCTTTTTGTTTCTTTTTTTTTGTAAATATATATAAATATTATATCTATTTTGACATGAAAAGTCATTGTGTTCTTTATTGTTACCTTTTTTTTCTTCTTCTTCTTCTGTCTCTCTCTCGGTATGATTAAAACCTTTAATATATATATGTAACTTCTCTATGTGTGTCTGTCTGTGTGGTGTGTCTTTCATACGATGAATTATTATTGTATGTGTGAAAGAGATATACGGTAAACGAACGCTATTAAGCGTGTTTGTATATATATATAAAGAACTATAGATAAAGATGAGATAAGACAAATTTTAGATTTGAATTTATTTAATAGAAAGAATAAAAAAAAGAGAATTAATATGGACTCGATTTCAATAGCTGATGGGATACCACAAAATCCAAAGTATGTTTTTTACTTTGATTTGGATAATTTTTTAATTGTATTGTTTATAGTGAAGAAAGATTTAAACAATTAATAGAAAAATTTAAAACAGTATATACAGGAGTTCAACCACAGTTTTTATGTCGTGCACCAGGACGAGTCAATCTTATTGGTAATATTTATATTGAATTTTTCAATAAAAATTATTCTGATTTTTTTTAAAGGGGAACATATTGATTATTGTGGTTATTCAGTATTACCTATGGCTGTTGATCAAGATATTGTTTCTATCTTTGCTACAACTGATGATAATGAAGTACATATCAGTAATACAGATCAATCATTCAAGTATTGTAGTTAAATCAAACAATATATCATCGTTTAACTTCTTTGTATTTTCGTTTTTTTCAGAGAAGGTTCATTTGATATTGCAAATTTTTCTATTTCATATGAAAAATCTGTTTGGTACGAATATTTTAAATGTGGTATTCAAGGTATTCGTGATAAATATCCTGATATTAAATTAAAAGGTATTAAAAATATATTTTCAATATAAATCATAAAAAATCTTGAATTTATTATATAGGTATGAAAGTTTTAATTGATGGAACGATTCCACGTAGTGCTGGTCTTTCATCATCATCAGCACTTGTTGTTTGTGCTGCTTTATCAACAACTATTAATAATGGAATTCATATTACCAAGGTTCTATTTTCAATATATTTAATTTTTAATTATATTTTTTTAAATATCTAGAGTGATTTAGCTGAACTTTGCGCTGAATGTGAAAAATATATTGGTACACAAGGAGGTAAAACTTCATTGAATTTTTTATTTATATTTATTTTTTGTCTTTTAAAAAGGTGGAATGGATCAAGCTGCATCTTGTCTTGCACATAGTGGTTCTGTATGTTTTATTTTTCATTTGTAACATGTATCATTATTAATATATATATATGTATAGGCAATGTTAATTAGTTTTAATCCATTGAAAACACAAGATGTTACATTACCAAATGGTTCTGCTTTTGTTGTAACACATTCATTAACTGAAGTTAATAAAGCAGCAACAGATCATTTTAATATACGTGTATCCGAATGTCGATTAGCAACTCAAGTATAGATCAAAATAATCTTTCTTTTAAATTTAAAATCATTTTTTTATTTACAAGATATTAGCCAATGCGAAAGGTCTTGATTGGCGTTCCATTCGTAAACCATATGAATTACAAACTGCTCTTAATATGACAATAAATGATTTAGAAAAATTTGCATTAGATACACTTCATGAAATTCCTTATACAATTGATGACGTTGCTAATTTATTAAATGTTACTGTTGATGAATTAATTAGTATTAGTTTAAGACCAAATGTTAAACGAGGTAGAATAATATTTATTCGTTTTATAAAAAATAAATTCAATTATTTTAGAACAAAAATTTGAATTATGTAAACGTATAAAACATGTTCTTAGTGAAGCTAATCGTGTTTTATTGTTTAAAGAAGTATGTGATTCAAATGCACATGATCGTCTTGAAACACTTGGAGAATTAATGAATCAAAGTCATAATAGTTGTTCAAAATTATATGAATGTAGTAGTGATGAACTTGATGAATTAACTGAAATTTGTCGGTATGTTAAAATTCGAATGCTTCTTTTTATGTTTTAAATAAAAATAATATTCTTCGTTTTTTTCTAAGACAAAATGGTGCTCTTGGTTCACGTCTTACAGGTGCAGGATGGGGTGGTTGTGCTGTTTCACTTGTAAAACAAGAAAATTTAAATGATTTTATTCGCAATGTTCGTGAAAAATTTTATACAAATAGTACAGATTCGAAACGAATTAGTAAAGCCGATCAAAGTATTTTTCCAACATTACCTGGTTGTGGAATTTATGCTGTACGATTATAAATATTGATTTAAGTAGCTCGTACATCATTTATGCGCTCATTAACATTATTTATAAAAGATTTTTTTTTGTATTTCGTTATTATTATTATTCTTTGGTGATCAACCGCTTTCATTTTTAACTTTGTGATTGGGTGAAATCTGTAGAGTTTATTTAAATAGATGAAGTTTAACTTCTGTTAATTTATATTTGCCATGAATTTATTTGTCTTCTGATAACATATGCATAACAAAATTGATCTCTGAAGTTTTGAAAATAGATAAGATTTGTATTTATATAAAAAGAGAAAGTATGTACGAATATACTTGATATATTTGTGACATTGAGGTAAATATTGTCATCAATCTTGTCTATTTTATTTCTTTTGTTATGTTTGAAAAGAAGCCTTGCTCATATATGAAAAGCTTGAATAAAATCATGTTCATAATTTATGATTAAACTTCATTTTTATCAAGAAAAAAAATCCGTATTAATCGAATACCCATCAGCATAAATATTTTTACTTATAGTAATTCATTCATACCTAATGATAAGAAGAAGAAAAGAAATTCTAGACATTGGACTAATGGATAAATTATCTATATTCTATACTTGAAACAACTTAATGGAAGCTCTCTATTTAAAAAAGAAACGAATTATTTATTTTCGTTATCAATAAAAGGTCTCTTCGAACTAATATGATATTTCTAATGAATCAAAAGCTTTTATTTTGTTCAATGGTACTTGTAAATATTAACAGATATAAGAATAATTATCGCAATATTGAAAAGTTCACGTACATAGATAAATCTAGTAAAACTAATTTATTATAAATGATGATTTAACTATTGAACAATATTTCTCTTCTATTCACTATTTGTTTTTTAACAAAACATATTACGTATATTGTATCATTATTTTTATTCTACGAATAAGTGTCATTATTTTAAAGAAAATATTCATAGTTTTTTACCAAATATTACCATCAATATATCAAAGTAAACAATGAAGTTGTATTCTATGAAGAGAGAAAAAAGAAAGAATTTCATAACTTGAGATGAAGAAGAAGAAGAATAAGATTATAATTTTAATGGATAGAGAAAAGAAATAAAAATGACAGCTTCCCTTATATAAATAGAGTACCATCATATAATATATATAGAAGCTCTCACACCTTCTCTGTTATTTTTTTTTTATATTCTTTGTCAATGATTACTTATACAAATTCTTCTTGCTCTCCCTCTCTCCTTTTTCTTTTGTATATATGTTGATATTACGTCGATCGAGCAACATCTTTTATATTTGTATATACATACTAATTTCGTTTTTTTTTCTTCTTTTCTTCTATGAACATGAAATATAACGTTGATTTGTTTTTATTGCCATATGTATTATGTCAGTTACGAAAATAGAAACGTCCTACAAAAAGTTAAGATGTTAAACCTTATCAATTGGTGGTCTATAACAAATAAATATAAAAAGAAAATTTATCAAACATTCATCAGAATAATTTTAGTTCATAAAATTTATTATTATTAAAATATGTATACAAAGACTCAATCACAAGAAAACAATAATGATAATAATCAACAACAACAAGAAAATTTATCTACAACAAATAGTAGTGAATTTTCAATATCGAATGCATCTGGTAAGATATTAAATGATACATTATGACAGACATCACACATAGGAAAGCTCCAAACAGATATGAGTAAATCTTTTCTCGAACAGTTTTAGATTAGCATTGATATTTTAAACTTTTATTCAAATTAATTGAATATTGAATTATATCTTTAGCTCCTATAAGTAATGATGAACGTGCGATTCATATAGCACAATTACTTCAAGAAGCTAATCTTCCTGATCTGATACAATTGGATACTATTAATCAAATACAATATTTTCTTTATGAACGTGATCAACTTATGACTGAAGTTAGTTAATACTAAAAAAGTTTTTTTTCGTTGATATAATTCGATTTGAAAAATTTAGGCAGAACATATTCGTATACATTATGAAAAGCAATATCAAATATTGAGACATCATCATGATCAAACGGAAAATAATAATGAACATCTTATAGTTCAAATTCGTACATTATCGAAAGAACTTATTTTATATAAACATCTCGTTGAAGCTCCAGAAAATCTTGAATCATCAACAAAACCAAAAGATTATCAACAATTAAAACAAACTATCGAAGAAATTGTACGAGAAAATGAACGTTTACATTCTGAATTAAACTATTTTAAAACAAGTGATCCTGTCTATGAACAAGTACAATTATTAGAAACAACTAATATACATTTAAAACAAGAATTAAATCAAGTAATCAATGATAATAATCATTTAAAACAAATAATTAATCTTGATGAAATTCAATATTTAAAAACCAAATTAATACAGACAATTGAAGAATGTGAACAATTAAAAGCAGATAAAGAAAAATTTATTCAACAACAAACATCATCATCATTAAACAAAGAAGTTCGTTTGTAGATTTTATATTTAATTAAATTTCTCTTAAACAAAGAAAAGAATAGTCTTGAATCATATAGGTTTCTTGAATATAGAACATTATAACGATGTCCTTGCCAAAATTAATTTGTTCAGAAATACATATTATTTTACTTTCTATAAAATAAACAGAAAGGAACGAAAAAAAAGAGGAAATTTTTTTGCGATTGTATTTATTTCGAACATATTGTAGCTTGTAACTATGTGCTTTTTTTCTTGAGCATCACCAGTGGACTCAGTACAGTCTAGAGTATCTATTAGAGCAATCAAAAACAGATGATTATAGTTTTTCGCGAGAACTGAGATATTTATAAACTTCACTTAACTTGACCATAGAAATATAATATTCTCATTTCGATAAATTTAGGAACATATTTATTCATCTCCTCCTAACCACCAAGAGTCACAAGTAGCATCAATTTCAATTCAATCTTTAAAACCAATTGAAGAAAATCCTCCTACCAATGATATTGTTGAATTACATCAACATGTTCATCGTTTAGAACAAACAATACAACAACGTGATTATGAATTACAAAAATTACAGAATGAAATCGAAAAAGGTACATGTTCAATAATGAGTTCAATTGAAGATCTTTATATGGCATCATCAAACATTTCATCACCAACAAGTATATGTAAATCACAACCATCTATTAATGAATTACAAAACGAAATCGATCAATTACATGATAGATTAAATGAATTAACACAAGAAAATCAAACATTAAAACTTCGTATACAAGAGATTGATACAATTTACGAAGAAAATGAATATCTTTATGCGGAAAAGACTCAATGGACTGAAGAAATGGAACAAACTAGATTACATCAATTAGCACTTCAACAAGAAATTAATATATTAAAACAACGTGAAAAAGAATTTTTATTTACAAATGATCCATCAATATCAGTAAATGATTCGAATACGACAAAATTAAAATTAAAAATAGATTGGTTCAATCGTAGAAATAATGAATTAGAACGTGAAATTATTCATTTACGTCAACAAATAGTTTTAATTACAGAAGCATATGAACAAGATAAAGCAGAATTAATTCATACAAATCAATATTATAAACGACTTTTACAAGCGAATCAAAATTCTAAAAAACATCCTAAAGTAAATTTAAATTCAAGACTTTTTATAATGTTTTTTCTTTTTTATTAGAAATCAGTTCGTATCGAACAAACTCATACTGAAATTGAAAATCAATTTGAACAACAAAGACAAGAATATGAAAAAATCATTACAGTTTTAAAAGAACAAAATGAAAATACAGAACAAAAATATAGTGTAAGGTCAAGTGTGATATATTATATATTTTTTCAAATGAATTAATCTAAAGTAAACGTATTGCTTTTTAATCATTCTTATGTAAACAAAGATACTCCCTAGTTTTGCCGTAAGTAAAAGTATTGAAAACTTATCGAACAACACTCAATGTGTGAAAATGACATATTAAATCAATACCTCGTGGATAAAATTATTTTTCATATTCTCTTGACACGATTATCGATGTCTAGGGGAAAAATTACATAAACAAATAATGTAATTTAGACATTATACATAATATATTAGTTTTAGGCCATGTATAAATTGAAGTTGAAAAGATAGATATATTTTTGAAAAATAAAATTACGTAGTTTCTTTTTTATATTCATTCTTTGCGAATATCGTTTGAAAGACTAAAATGTAGAATTCCTGAAATTGAATATCATGTTAAAAATGACTACTGCTTAGTGAATCATATTACTTATCGAATTTGTCTTTTTGTATGATTCTTTAATTGAGAAATTTCATGTGATAAATATATTTTTTGTCTAGTCTCTTCATAATACAACTCTTAAACTTCAAAATGATTATCATCAAAAAGAATTCAATTTTGCTCATCAACTTGATGAAATTGTTAAACAACGAGATACTATTCATACACAATTAACTTCTTTAGAAAATCATTATGAACAAATAGAAGAAGAAAATAAAGCTTTAAAGCAAGAGGTAGATTTTTATTTATTGATTAATTGAAACTATTTTATTTTAAAGTTAAATTCAAAAAATGAAGTAAATCGAGATCTTCAATTAGCTTTAATATCAACAAATCATGAAAATCAACCACAACATCTATCAAATACAGATCTGGCTGAATTACAAAAAAAATATGATCATGATATAGCTGAATATAATACTCAATTAGAGTCTTTACGTACTTTACAAAAAGAAATTATTGTAATTTCAAAATAATATTCGATTTTTTTTCTTGATAAACTATTTCATTTTTCTATTTTAGACAAATTATGATGCTGAAATATTAAAAAATCATCAAACAATAATTCAATTACAACATGATAATAATCAATATTCAAGTGAATTAGAACGTTATCGATTAAATATTAATAAACTTCAAGCTGAAATCAATGAAAAACAAAATGTTAGAAAAATTAAATTTTCGATTTTATTTTTTTATCATCAAAAAAATTTCTTTTATTTACATTTAGTTTATTCAACAGATACAAAATGATTTAAGTGAACGATCAGCTTTATATGTTAGTATTAATAATCAATTATCACAAGAAGTAAAAATAAAAATGACGAGAATAACAGAACTTGAACAATCTCTATCTCAAGAACAACAAAGTGTACGTATTACAAGCGGGTATATGAAAGATGCAATACATATTGATTTCTGCAGGGGCGTGAAGGGTGTTACGGCCCACGTGACCTCCGCTTCCTAGCGGTACGCCCCTGGATTCCTAACTGGAGGTCTAATGAACTACAGCAAATAATAAACCCATTCTTTTGTTTTTTTAGAAAACAGAAATACAACAAAAACTTCAAGATTTACTTCAGTCAGATAAAGAACCTGTAGATAAAAATGAAAAATCTGAACAACATAATATTAATTCAAATGAAACAATAGATTCAATAAAACGTGAATTAATTATTTTACGAAATGAATTGAGAACAAAATCTGATGAAAATACGATGTTTCAACATATAATTGAAGATGAAAAACTTAAAAGGTTTCATATCATTTTCTATGATTATTATTTTTGTTGAACTTAAATTTTTAGACATAGACTTGAAATGAAAATAAAACGATTAAAAGATGAATTTATTCATGTTCGTACAGAACTTTATAACCGTGTGGAAGAAAATCATTCATTACAATATGAACTTATTGAATGTCGATTGAAGATTGATTATTTTTCACATGTACACGATCAAGCTATTCGTTCAGTAAGATCATTAAATTAAATAAAAATATATTTTTTATTATAATATTTTATTAAAAATTAGCCTGACGACAATGAAACATCAAATATTCTTCAATTATATTTAAAAGAAAAAGCCGATAATCTGCATTATCAATTAAAATGTCAAACATATCAACAACAAATTGATTATTTACAAAGAAATTATGAATCAGTGAAAGTCAAACATAAGCAACGTTTACAAGAAGAAAAGTCAATATAAATATATATTTTACAAAATATATTTTATTTTCGATATTTTAGAGAGATATATGTACGTGCTAAAATGAAATATCTTGATCATATTAGAAATATTCAAAGAGATTTACAAGAAACACGACGATTACTTGAAAAAGATGCAGAAACGAAATTAAATCAAGAATCAGTTTATCAACAAGTCATTGATGAAAGAAAACAATTACTTACAAAGTATTTTATCTTCGATCCTTTACTAAGATGTTTCTCTAGAGTAGATTCTTTTAGCATAAACATATGTTGCAATGTTGACGCTTTGATCTTTTACATAGTTAAAATTAATTAATCAATAATTACTGAATATCGATCGAACTGTATGAGTAGAAAATCTTTGAGAGTAGATTCTAGGACTCAGTCACATCTATGATAAAATTTTCGTAATAAAAACGAGATCTCCTGCGATCCTATCAAGTCGCAAAATAAAAATGTCTCGAGATAAAACGCAAATTACATGCGGTCGGATAATTTTGGCGGCCACTGTATGTATAATATATAAGATTAGCTATGGAAAAGTTCTCCATTTCTGACATATACATGTTTCAATTTTGTGAAGTCACGTCACTAACAAATGATTTTACCCATATGTATATTTATTCTATAGTATGGTTGATAAAGATGTTAAAGAACGTGAAATACGTCGTGAAAATCTTTTATTAACATCAAAAATTCAATTACTGGAAAAACAAATGGAAAATTTAAATGATCGTATTGATCGAACAGCACGTGAGCAAATACAACTTCGTCGAGATGTTAGTAATGTTCGTTTCGATATTAATGTTTCATCCGAAGTAAATTATTTTCAATAGTTCATTTTTTCTAACAACAAAACTATATTTTATTATTTTATTTACAGAATAGTACTTCTTCTTCACCTATTTTACCTTCAAGAAGGACTACAATAACTTATATCGATTCAACAGGACGAGCTCAACCTATTTGTTATTCCGAAGCATTTGGTTTTGTTAATGGTCATCTACAGGAAGTATCTGCTACTTCATAACTTCCGAATATTTTATATTCTTTATATACATAATAACATATACAATCGAATAAGGTTTTTGTTTTTCATAGACTAAAGTCAATGAGAAACTATCATGAAAATCTTATTCATTATTTATTTTTCTGCCAATCATTTGTCAGATATGTTCTTTATCTTCTCTCATTTTTTTTTACTAGAATTGTAGAATATGTATCGATGAATATAATTCTAACATTTAATTAGATTATTTTTATATGATTGTGTGTTTATATGAATCGATTTGAAAAATATTTATATTAAAAATTTTGATTGTCAGGAGAAGATGAAGTTAAACTTTAAATGTATTCCTACAAATTATTTCGTTTGTACTAAAGTAGAGACATTGTTAATAAATTTCATTAACTAATATGTAATTTATTTTTGAAAATAATAAGTATTGATAATATTGTTGTAATATAATTATGGGATTCCCGACTCTCAGGTATGAATGTTAGTGTGAGTGTGAGGGTATGACCGTGGTACTGAATAAAACACACCCACACCCTCACCCTTATTAGTTGGCTTGATTTTTGCCCGCAATTAGGCCGTACTCATACATGACATTGTGTGATACGAACACAAATGGATAATGGAGTAATGAAAAGAATATTATATACCGACGATAGTGGTAACACTACCCCCATTCGTTCGTCATTGTGATTACAATAAAATAAATAGTAAAACAAGAATAAAATAATCTATATATGTTATTCTTAGTTACAATGCTTCATCAATTTTATTTTGTATTTCAAAATGTTAATTATCTTTATTGATTATTATCAAAGAACTTTTTATAAAAAAAGGAACAAGCCAATGTAAAACATATGGAATTATTTTTTTTGAAATTTTAAATAAAAAAAGTTTCTATAAAAGAAAAGAAATCAGATGAAATTTATCTATATTTATGTGTGCTTGTCCGTATTTATACCATTATGCAATACAATCTATAATATATATTTTTTCTTTTTCACCTACATATTAACTAACAGATAGAACAATCGTTTAATGTCCGTTTATCAATTAAAGTATATGAAAAAATAGTAGAATCTCATATAAATTTTGAATTGAATAATATTTCAATGTATGAACAATCTGCAGATAGACTATAGACAATCTTTTAATTAAATATATATTTATTTAATTTCTATATGATTCAACGAGATATAATAAAATAAATTAATTCGTCGATTATTTTATTTTGTTTTATTTCAAAGTAAGAGTGATACTTTTGAACTATAGACAAACTTATTATGAACACAAAATAACGTGATTTTTCTCTTTTCTTTTCGTTCTGTTACACTAGCACGTTGTGTATAGGAGATAAAACCTAACCTTTTATTAATAGTGGGTTAATGTAACAGAATGAAAAAAACTAACAAGTGTAAGTAAGCAAGTAATTACTTTTTTTTATATCTTTTTCACGAAATAATCTGTAAGAGGTACAAATGAACTACATTTGCATAGATATAATATTTATTAATCTTTTATACTAGATTGTAAAAAGAAAATAAATATATTGAATGAACTATTATTCAATATTTTAAATTCAATAAATCAAGTTATGTTGAGTTTGGATCTATATGTATATCATCTAAATTATCTTGGTTGAGACATACGTTCCTGATAATAAATTTACATATTTAATGTGGTCTATTCCTATTAAGATATACTCTGATATAGCGATCAATTCAAAGATCAAGGTAAATAAATTGTTCAGAAAAGACAAACAAATGAGTTAAGAGAACAGAATATATGCGTACATGTAAAAAATCAATGAAGTGTACTGATCAATTATATATCACTCTAAAAATATATCGTCATGTTCAATTATTGCTTCTATTCAAAAGATATTTATGATTGGTATTTTATGTTAGCCCTATTGATCAGTAAGTAACTATATACGATAAAATTTTTATTCAGAGTTTATTATTATTTTCTGTGTAAATCAAACTCTAGTGGGAGATTTTTCTTATTTAAATGATTACAAACAAGTCTTAACATATCAAATCTAATGAATTTCGTAATTATTTGAATACTCTAAAGTTTGAGATTTCAATTAGTTAGAATTAAATATAATCATGTATGATAAATGCCAACTGAAAATAATACTTCATTTAAATTTTCTAAACTTGATTATTTTTATTATTATTGATAGATGAATTATTTATATACATCTGCTTTATAAAATGATGATTAATTAATCATAGAAACTTCTACTAAAATATCTATGATGAGTCATCATATAGTACTATTAGATTATTTTAAACAAACATCTCTCATATATTCTTATTAATCATGAATAAATAAATAAGCATTTCACAAATATAATTATGTATCGAGTAGTTTTATTATAGATACAAACAAAGATTCAACTAAATAACTTAAACAGATAAAATTCAGCACTTTTATATGATTAAAGCAAAAAAGTGAAAGATTTGTTTAGGTCTTTGCTACAGTTGTAGCACAATATTAATTGAAAATCTAACTATAAAGTAAACAAAATATTTTTGTTAATCTATCATACTACTGCTTAAGAACTATTCCTACATAAAATATAATAATTCTATTCTAGTTGGCTTTTTTTTCACAGTGATATAATAATTCTATCTTAATTGAAATTTATAATTGAAGTCAATGTTTTTTTTTCTTTACTCGTCTTTATTTGTAGAAGAACTCAAACCGGAAAACAAAAATTATATTAAAAAACAATATTTTTCTACCGGGATATAAAAATCATTTGTAGATTATATTTAGAATTAAAATAAATATTTTTTTTTTTATTATACTTCGATTATAGTTGAATATCAATACAAATTTCATTTTGAACTAATTATGGTAGGATATGAAATTGTTAAATATTCAATCATGTATCGTTTAATAAGAAAATAACAAAAAAAAATATGTGATTGATGTATTGAGAAGATATTCTACAAGGTATTACTTGTTATATTCTTTTCTTTCTCGTTATTAATACAAGGACATAAACACTGTCTTTTCTTTATTTGTGTGTATTACTCAAGTATATTTTTTCTTCTTTATTGTTGCTATTTTGTTTGTATAATTTATCCTTCGAATCTAATTGCAAAGATAGAAAGTATGTGACAAGATAAAATAATGATCGATGAAGGATATTCTTTCGTTTCTATCTTGCTTTCATTCTTCACTTATCCTATTGAATTTTATTTCTTTTATCTCTTTAATTTATAGTCATTGCCAATGAACAATAATCAAGCTAAATATTCTTCTATGTGAAATAAAAAGATATGTTGATGTAGACGATACTTAACAAATATATTTATATTTGAAAAATTTCAAATAAAATGTGCTACATTTCAAAGTTAAAAGTCAATTCTTACGATTAGATACTAATTGAAATATATGAGACTGATAGGATGGATTCGTTTGTTATTTTATATTAATGATAAATCGTTTGAATACCGAAATTTATAATGATCTTGTATATAAAATCGATTTTAATAGGATTATAAAAGCATTTCGTTCTATGTTCACCACATAATATAATCTACACAGATTTTAACTAAAAACATTTATAGGATTTAGCAAAAAAAAACGACAACTTAAGTATTTAAATGAAGTTTTTTGATCTCTTAATTGAGAAACTACACTATGCTTTTTAATCAAATAAAGTATTACTTTTACACTGATTGTTTTCAAGTTAACTAATGCTATCAATTGATTTTTAACGGAATAGAATAGACATTTCATACCTAAAACAAACATTTTTTTTTCAATAAAACTACACATTTTTAAATAAATAATTCTATATTGCGTATTATTTATTTTATCGTCAAAAAAGATATAGTATAAACTGTACATTATTATCAGTTAACACCGAAATGATATAGCTATTTAAATTAATGTAAATAACACAATCTTCATTTATCTTAAATACTCTTCTATCGATATTCTTAATCTATATTTATTCTATACTGTTTTTTTCTCAAATACACCTTTTTGTACATATACATGTGCTTTTCTTTTTATATGATCAAGAATAGGTATGTCGTTCTCATACTCTTCAATCGTATGTTAATATCACTCCTACATGTTGTGTTTAGTTTAAACAGTCCATATATAAAAAAAAATTTATTCTTCGTATTGTCTTATACACTTTTTCATTCATCCAAATAATACAGTAAGATATTATCTGTTTCAGGCACCTACCATTATCTCTTCAATTATTTTATCGTTTATATTAATTTACTTAAGTACCACAGGTGCACCAGTCAGTGATCCAATTGAAGCTAATTGTTTAGATCGATTCTTTAATCGATCAAATCTTGATCCACCATTATTATTAGATTTAATTAAAAGTAATTTAGGACATACAGAAGGTGCAGTTGGTGTTGCATCACTTATGAAAGTTGCTATGTGTATGTATCATCGTGGTATTACAGCAAATATGCAATTTACTTCACTTAATCCTAAAACAGAAGCATAAAAATATAATTTACATATTCTTCAAAATTTTGTACCATTTCCAACTCTTCCAAATAATGAAAAATACCTATAGGTGTTAATTCATTTGGAATGGTTGATACAACTACACATGCTATTATTGAAGAATATCAACCAAATAAAACATCAACTGTAAATGGTCATATCGATGAAAATCATATTCAAAGCAGACAATAATATTTTATTTTTATTTTTTCAAGTAAGTTCTTCATATCTTTTCATTCATTAAATAATTTATTTCTTCTTATTCAGCAAAAAGTCGTCAATCTCTTAACGATCAATCAACGATATAGATAATAATGATCATCAAGCTTTTCTTCAACGTATATCTCAACAACTTCTTCTAAAAAGAACTATTAGTTATACACATTCAGTAATCTTTGTTTTTCTCAATCGTCAACAATTACAAGAACAAATTAATGCTTTTCTTACTTAACAACCATTACCAGGCATTTCAATCATATCACGTCCAACAAAATCATTAGCACAGAAAATATGTTTTATTTTTAATGGCTAAGGTCCACAATGGTGGGCTATGGGTAGACGATTATATGAAAATGAACCTTTATTTAATAAATAGATTCATTTAACTGATGAAGAAATAACAAAAACTAATAATGGTGAATGGAGATTATTGGAAGAATTAATTGAAAAGAAAAATGAACAAGAATCTCGTATTAATGATACAAATATTGTTCAACCACCATTATTTGCTATACAAGTTGCATTAGCAGCTTTACTTGTTTCTTGGAATATATATCCATCATCTATAATATCACATAGTGCTGGTGATCAAGCAGCTGCTTTTGTTGCTGGTCGATTAACTTTAGGAGAAACTGTTCGTATGTTAGCTGTTTCAATGAGTGAAGAAGAAGTACAAAATAAACTTCTGAAAGGTATTGAACATTTGGCTTGTATTGCTGTTGTTAATAGTCGTCGTCGAGTAACAATAAGTGGTGATGAAAAACAATTGATGAAATACAACAAATTCTTTCCATATCTTATCCTAATGTATTTAAAGCACGTCTTCGTATTGAAAATGCATTTCATTCATATCAAATGAATCGATTTGATATTGAAAAAGAAATGCTTTCATCATTGAAAGATATTCAAGGACTTCCAATACAAGATCAAAAACAAATCTTCAATCGGATATGTGCAAAAGCAAAACTTTATTGAAGTGTTATTGGTGAGCAAATGAATGATAGTATACCAGTTGATGGTCAATATTGGTGGTCAAATGTGAGACAAGCTGTGAGATTTTATGATGCTATAGCAGCAATTATAAAAGATGAAGTAGCAAATGTTTTTCTTGAAATTTCACCACATCCAGTTTTAGGTACATCTATTCGCGAATGTTATGAATTAACAAAGCAACAACAACAATCATCACCACTTATTCTTCCAACATTAAAACGAAAAGAAGACGAACAAATAATATTACTTACTAGTTTAGCACAACTTACAACATCATCTCATGTATGGAAACAATATTTTCATATTCGTCAAATTTTACCGTTGAAAAATCATGAATAATATTTTGATAATTTTCCATCGTATAAATTTCATTTGAGTTCATGTTGGTATGAATCAAAAGATTCATCTATACAACGTTCAGCTAATCGTATATCTACTCACCCATTGTTTGGTATTCGTCAATTAAATGATCAAACAAGTGCAACATGAAAAAGTCTTATTAATATTAATTTACCGCAACATGCTTTTTTAAAAGATCATAAAATTCAAGATGCAATTCTTTTCCCAGCTGTTGCTTATCTTGAACTTGCAACAGCTGCTTGCCATCAATTACTTTCATCAAAAAAAGATGATCAAGAACAACAACCAACACTTATTTTTGAAGACGTAAACTTTATTAAAGCACTTATTCTTAATGAACATAAATTAATAGAAGTATTTACACAAATAATTATGCCAATGCGTGAATGGTATATTATATTTTGTAATCAAGATAATCTTAATAAATATTCATTAAATGAATTTACTTTACATGCTCAAGGTAAAATTGAAATAGATTTTAAACAACAAAAATCATTAACAATACCTGATAGATGGACAATACAACATATAACAAGTGCTTATGAACATCTTTCAACATGCGGTTATCAATATGGATCTAGTTTTCAGAAAATAAAAACATAACGTGGTACTTCAACTACAATTCTATCTCAATTATCAGAAGATAACAATAATTGTTCATCTTATTATCTACTTCATCCATATCTAGTTCTATTACCAGGTGTTGAAACAGCATTTCTTCCAGTACGTATTCAAAAACTTATTTATTCAAGTAAAACAAAAGCAAAGATGAATCAATCAACAAATATCGAAGTATGTGGAAACTATTATGATAATATATGTGGTATAGATCAAGAAGAAATATATAATCTTGATTTTTGGACATTTCCAATGGAGAATAAAACCGAAGAACCAATATTTACATTTGAAGGTGCTGTTATTCAACAAGTTCAAGGTGTACAATCTGGTCGATGGTCAATGGAAAAAACAATTTATGATAAATTAAATTTAACAACTGATTTACCTAATACTGATTATAAAACATATTTAGATACAATTGTAAAAGATTATTGTATGAAAAGAGTATGGACTGATGCACCAATCATAAAAGATAAATCAGGTTTACTTCCATCACCTAATCAAATTCTTAATAATCAACTTAATTCTATTAGTAATCAAGATTTAATTGAACCAATCGAACCATTTAATGAATTAGCTACGTATTATGCTCAAATGGCAATAAAAGATCTTGATTTAAATCAACAACAGCATCCATTATTGAATGCATGTCGTTCTCTTGCTTCAACTTTGCATTCAGAACAAGTAACATGGCATTCAACACATCTTCGTCTTATTCAATTAATTGAACGTTTTCCTCGTTTAGAACCATTTTTAATCATATTAAATAAACATGGTTTACATTTAAAAGATATTCTTAATGGAGAAGAAAATGGTTCAGATATATTTTTTGGTGATGATGATGAAATTGAGCGAAATTTTCAACAAAGTAAAACTCTTATAAGTGCAACTAAAACACAACACATTTTTCATTCAATTTGTCAACATTTACAATTACAATATGAGCAAACCAAAGATGATTCATTTGAGAATTATCGATGACGTATATTTTCGTTAACTGATAATGATTGTTCAGACATTTTACCTATTCTTGATCTTTTTATTAATTGATTTACATTATGCAGATTCTGATCCAATACAATTTGCAAATGCTCAACAAACATTCAATATATATATAATTAATCAAAGAAATTTATCTATTATTTATGATGAAACAATTGATTTATATGATAATAAAACATTTGAAAAAATACTAATAGAATCATTTCATATTATATTTTCTTCTAATCAACTTCAACGTAATCAAGATTTAACAAAAAAGAATTCTTTAATTACTCGAAATAGTTCATATTTCTCATTATTTTCATCTTATTTTTGGTTTTATTGATCAATCGTGATCGTCTGCTGATGTTGATAAAAATAATCGTGTATTAAATAATATTCAACAATGGACAACATTATTAGAACAAATCCAAGAATTTAATTTTATTGAATCAACATTAAATCAAAATGAAAGTACATTTATTATTAGTCAAAAAGCAATATCAAATAATATATTACAAACACTTAATGAACGAATAAATCAAATATGGTTAATATTTACTAAAGACGATCAAAATAATAAAGATAATTCATATTCATAATTCAACTTTAGATATTATTTGTTCTTCAATACCAGTTCTATTAACTAATTATAAACAAGCATCTATTAATTTTGCATGGCAACTTGATCAAACATCACTTAACGAAAATAATGATGATTTAGCATTTCAACAAAATGAAGAACTTATATGTGGAACATTATCACGTATTCTTCAAACAATTTAAAAATCATCACCACATTTTTATCCATTTGTATATGTTCTTATAAATAATGCTCCATTTAATAATGATTCGAATCTTAATATAATACCATCACCATTTATTGGTCTTGAACGAACTTTAATAATTGAATATGAACGAAATTGATTAAAACTTATTGATCTTTAAATATCATTAAATAATAGATTAATATTTATTTATTCTTAAATAGAATATATATGATTAATTCAAGATCATCAACTGATACTTGTGAAGTTGTTCTTCCTCTTAATCATACAAATCAAAAATAAGTTCAATATTTAACATGGTATTATGAAATGTTACAAAATAATGATGAACAAAAGAAATCTAAATACGAACAAATACCTATTATTCCTAAACGAGATGCAGATCAAAAACCATTTCGTCTTTGTGTACCACCATCTCGTTTTCTTTCTGAATTAACATGGATCGAAGAAGATAGTGAAGAAGAACTATTACCATCAGATATGGTAGACTGATTTCGCTGGATTTTGTTGATGATATATCATCTCTTATTCATATTATACTTGAAGAAACATTTGATTTATTTGTTCAACATAAATTATATGCTGTTGAACCAACAGTTACTTATGAACCATCTCAAGTAATATAAGCATGATTAAGATGTAATAGTGGTCAAGTTATGGGTACAACAGCTATTCGTATAACTTCATCTGATCAACCACCGAATATGAACAAAAACCAATCGAATAATTTATTAGAAGGTAATCAGATTTTATATTTTCTTTTCTTTTCTTTTTTTTTCTTTTCTTTTCTTTTCTTTTCCTTTCTTTTCGTTCTGTTTCGATCGCATCGAAATATTTTATTCATACTTGAAAGAAAAGAAAACAAAAAGATATTCGTTCATATTTTTCACCTTTTCTCATAATTTTGCGGGTGGGTGTGGATGTATGTCTCTTCTTCTTTTTCATTCATATCCACACCCACAATTGATCCTAATAACGCTGATCGATACTTCTTTGTGTTATAGTCATATGTGATCAACTAGTATAGAAAAGAGATAAACTAAAAGAATATAGATATAAACTAGAAATAAAAACACTTCGTTAATCTTACTACTAGATCTAAACTTAAATTCAAACCTAAACTGCCAACTCGTTGGAGTTTGAATTTGAGTTTGGTGCATGTCTATCTAGAGCTACATCTTTGCCTACTCTTTTATCTGAATCCACTGTGCAGTAATAGAATATATGTATCATCTATGTGTATTTGTTTCTCTCTTCTTAATTTTTGTCTTCTCTTTTAATAATTTCGATAGGAATAAAAGAAATAAATTGAACAAATATTCATTTAAGTAAATGCTAGAAATAATGATCGTCGTTATTTAAACATAGAATAGTATTCGTTTACTTGATTTATCGAAATATTTTCTATATTTCTCTTGTTTATTTAAGAAAATAGATGAAATTAAATATAAGGTTCATGTAATGATTGATGATATCAATAGAAATATTTCATCTATCATTATCATCATGAATTGTAATGCTACAAACTTGATATGAAGATTTTTAGTGTTTGATTTATTCGATAAGAGATAATGAGCAATTGTTGATATAAATCTGATAGTTAATCGTCTTGAGGATGAGTATATATTGTCTTTACTGTCTCTTTGACATTGATATTAAAAGAAAATTGTTATTTTCTAACGAATTCTTTAATATTTTGATATAAAACTAAATAGAACGAGCATAAATCAATGATAAGAATGATCAATATATTTGACATAAGTTTGAAGAATATTTTCAAATAGAAGAAAAGCTCAATAAAAATATTGAATCTTAGACGAAAAGTTTTTTCTATTGTTCTTCTCGATATTTCCATTTAAACATAATTCCTATTGATAACCATACTGAAAATATAAAACTATTTATTAGTTCTTTTTATATAGTTATTTCTGAATAGATTTATCAAGGATAAGAAAAATAATGACCAACAGAGAGCGTATAAGAAAGAAAAACAACATTTCGTCACAAATATCGTTATTTGGATGAGGAAGAAAAGTATGCGAGATAAAATTAGCTATTGTCGAAGTAATTAAGGAATATGAAAATAAATGATGCACAAAATAAATACACATGTAGCAGATGTTGAATATTTTTCTATAGTTTTTAGGTAGAATTCTCATTCAAAAGAATGAGTTTATATTATTTTCTTTTAACACAAAATAATTCCTTTCAAATTTTGTAAATAAATTAAAGAAAATAATATTACTAAGAAAGTTAAATGAATTGAATAATTATTTTACAATTAGAAAAACATTTTTATGTAACAATTCCTAGTTAAAAATCTCTACCTGAATCTACATATGGATGAATTACAATATTCTTAAATTGTTTTATGAAAACCTTTTTATCTCATTGTTAGTACATTGTACAGTATTGTATTAAAGGAAAATATGTTTCATTTTTTCTAATTATTACTCTTGAATTATCTAACATATGAGATATTTTTTTAAGAATCCAGTTTAAAAATTTGAGATTAAACTATATTGATTCGTACACAACACATCTAATGCTGATTTTTTCACCAGATTTTTAATCTTTAATCTTGTGTGTGTAATGAGAAATTTCTTCGTCGATTGCAATTGAAATTAGTTGTAAGAAAGCTATTCCGTGTACTCAAAATCAGTAATTAATCGTCAATGAATTTCTTCCTCATTTTTAACGATAAATTATGATATTATTTACACGTGAACCTTAGTTTTACTGTTAAATTTAGAAAATCTTATTACTGATTTCATTAGTGGATCAATGTTTTTGTTATAAAATTGAACGTTCACGTTAATTTACACATAGAAGTTATGTAACTAAATCGATAAATAAGAACTCTACATGCAGTTTGATATAATGAGAAAAAATAAATTCAGAAAAAAGATTAAAAAATTCTCTAAAATCGATGATTTGTATTTATTTATTTCTGGAAGGCTTCTCTGCTTATTTATCATCGCTCATTAATTAAAAATCTTGAAAAAGAATGCAAAAAACATAAATGAGAAGTAGAGTTATAGATTAATATAGAATCATCTAAAATAAACTACACCTTATCGTAAAGAAACGCTTTGAAACGAATGATTGTGATGACGAGGCCTATAGTGTGATTATTTTTAAAATTACCCAATATCATTCATGTCAAATCTAGTCTTTTCATTTGTTCTAAACGTCTATGATTCTATTTCACTATTCAATTTATAAATTCCTAAATAATAAATTTGTAGTTTATAATTGATTACTGAAATCGATGATTAAACATGATTTTCATGACATAAGATGTAACTATGACACTCGTCGGAGATTTTTATAGAATCTATTTTCCAATGGTAATAATATGAGCAATAGTTAAATAGAATGAATAATGTTTCAAGTCAATCTGTAATATTTTAAGAGAATTAGAAATTAAAAAAAAATCTTATGTAATATTTCGTATAACACTAATGGTTTTTTCTATTTAACCGAAAATTTGAATAAGTTTTTCATTATCTTTTATCACTTGTACCATTATATATCGAAGTTATTTTTCATATGACAGAATAGAAATTAAAGGATTGACTGTAGATATAATCTATGAACAAATAATTAATTAGAATTATTTTCTTAAAATATATATTAAAAATAAATAATCATTTCTTTGTCTTTGATTTCTATACAATATAAGAAGAGCGACATATGTGCGGGATAAAATCAATATTAATTCTATTTTCAAAGAAAAAAAGAAATTCTACAAATAATGCGCTTGAAACGAAAAGATGAATTTGATACTAAAATAGATCATATTCTTATTTATTTTTACTCACACTTGTTTTTTTATTATAAAACTTAAAGAAACAAGTATTTAGAATAAAAATATGAACTAAATAAGTATCATTATCTCTTTTTATTTTCATGATAACTTAATAAATATTAGAACATAATGCTAAGATTTCTTTGCTGTATCATTTATTAAATCAATTTTAAGTGAATAAACAACTCACACTTATTATTTTCTCTTTCTCGAGGTTAAAAAATCTCAAATTAAGTTATAGGATTACCGATCATTTGTAACAGATTGCTGAATTGCAGATGATTTTGATCATAAAGAAGAGTAATATCGCTGGACAAGTCATTAGAAATCCAAATAGTTAAAAAATTTAAGATAATTAATTCTATATTGAAAAATAAATAAATAAATAAAGATTTTGATTATATTTAAAAATTGACTTGATTTTTCTTCCATAAATAAAATCGATGAAAACAGAATTATTTTTCTCTTTTCTTTTCATGACTTATGTATCCGTCTTGGTTCATTGGTTTTGTTGACCACATGTGATTTTTAGTACGAGCAATCAACGACGATATTAAAGAATAAACGTAAAGAAGAGTGGCCTTATAGATGATCGTTTGACAAAACAAGAAAAAATGAGAATTGTAAGCCCTAGAAATAATTTTTTTGTTGTTGCGAACAACATAACAAAATGCACCCAGGGGGAAAAGAACGTGTCTCTTAGAATATTTTCAAATATCGAAATAAAACGACTTTTACGTATCGAACCGTGTTCTAATCTTATCTTAAGATTTCGATTAACAACTGTAAAGAATGAAATATCTGTAGTATGATATTTAAGCAATGAAGAAGAAAATTAACTTTATTCTTATAAAAAGAAAACGTTTCATTTCAAATTGATATTAATATAAAATAAGATAAAGAAGAATTTGATTATTTTAGTTTTATCTTATTTCTTAAATAACTATTTAAACATTTTGAGAGAATCAAATCCTTTTTATTTAACATTTTACTTTATATTTGGAGATTTTTAGAATAAAATACTTTAATTATTCTCATTTAAAAAATGTAAATATTCAGTTTTAAGATGATCGAACTAAAAAAAACATTGAGTATAATAACAAATGCGACGATTACGACATTAATAACTTCATGGTCAGCTAGTTGTTCTTCTATATTCTTTATAATAATCATTTTTGTCATGATAA